GGCGACCTAGTAAACCGTGGTCCTTAAGTCGACGTTTTACAGTTGAAACATGAATATTGATTCCATGATCTTGTTGTAATTCACGAGTAATGTACTGCGCAGATTTGCGCGGATCAGCGACTGATATCATTTTGATAATTCTGTCGACTCTTATGATGTTTTCCGAGGCCGTCCTTGACGAGGCTTATTATTTACATGACCCTGAACTTGTTGTCGATGATTCCAGACACTCACTAACTGCCGAGATATACCAAAACAACGGGCAACTTCTGATTGACAGCGTCCCTCTTTCAAAGCATGTATTACAGCCTCCTTAAAGTCAATAGAATATTCTTTTCGTTGTCTTTTGGCCATAACTAACTTGTACTATCTAAAACAAATATAATATTGACACGTATATGTTTAAGAGGTAATTACTTGCAGTAAATAAATGTGTAAAAAGACTTTTGATCTATCAATCACAAATATTATTTGTAAATAAAGTATTTCTTACTTAAATCTGAAGATGAATCCGAGTTATAACGAAAACTACGTCCGTATTGTACAAAGGTCAACGAATAACTGAACCGATAATAGCACTGTTGGAAAATTAAATCAGGAAAACTGACTGTCAAAAGACATTTGAGCGCTACTGTACATACGGTACAGAGGACGCGAATTAAGACTCGTCGGAGATGCTGGATACCCTTCGTTGCCATTTTTGCTTACGCCGATTAATAATCCTGTTACCGATGAAGAAATAAGGTTTGTCTAATTCTATAGTTATAACAGCAATAATTATATTACTAAATAGATCATTAATCATACATTACGAGGTAAATAGTAAAAATAAAAGTTAAAAATAAAATACATATATAAAATATTAATTATTAATAAACATAACATTAATAACATAACATTAATAATTTCATCATTTTATATCATTTTATATCTTTTTCATTTTTATAAAATTACAATTAGATGTTGTTACACATGATTAAGATGATATTAAATAAAGATATGATTCACTAATGCCACACACGTCTGTACATTCACGCACGCACGTATATGCCCGTACATACAACACAAGGAATTTATACGTATACATTTTTTTGCAGTTACAACGTAATCTATAATAGGACAAGAGGAATTATTGAGAGGACTTTCGGCGTTTGGAAACGCAGATTTCCGTGCTTATCCAAAGGATTGAGCACAAAATTACTAATATCCACAACAATTGTTGTAGCATGTGCTGTTTTGCAAAATTTAACATTGAGTTTAAATGATTATTTGGAAGAAGAAGCTGAAGTAGAAACTGAAAATATAAATATCGAAGTTCCAGTTTCTCAACCTCACTGCTAACCTGGATATGGTTAATTTATAAGAAATGCTTTAATTGAACGGCTTTTTAGATAGGAACAAAGTATATATGTAAGAAAAATACTATATATATATATATATATATATATATATATATATATATATATATTGTATCGGGCTCGACCTCGATTGGCCGAAAGCCGACACGAAAAGCGCCGGTAACTGCCTCGTGCAAAGCACCGGTGTCGTGCGTGGGAGTAGGATCGGCGGTGGTGATAAAGAGACTTCACAATTGCGGTTGCAGTGCGGCACAGATTTATTGCAAGCAGAAATTACACTGAACCCTTCGATCTCGCGACGAAGCGGCGGACGGAAATCTTCAGCGAGTCTTCAGCGTGAGGCCGTTCTCAGCGCGACGGAAATCTTGATGAATATCTCGTCGATATTCACGCGACGGAGATCTTGACGCGCCCGTCGGAAATCTTGAGTCGCGAGGCCTCGGAATCGGTTGTGCGAGCGCGAGCGAGATCGGCGGGTTTACACTGTCTAGACGATGCACAATTACAAAGTTTGCACATGAGATATCGGAGCGTATGCCGTCGGAACGCGCGGCCGTCGCGTGCGGGCGAGGCGCGCGAGTACACTGGTGCTGCACGGAGCGCGAACCTTCGGAAGTCGCGGCCGACAGCAGCGAGCTCAGGGCGATCCGAGCTTGATCGCCGACGAGCTCGAGGAAACGAAAGCCTCGCGGAAGAACCGCACTGCTTCCTGGGTCCAACTCCGGCATCGAGCTATAGTGCGAGAGACGATACACCGAGAGCCGAGAGAGCGGAGCAATGCTCGCACGAAGAGCGCGACGTCGCGCTACGAGAGGAGCGTCGGCTTAACCGAGAATAAGAGATCGCCAGCGCCCGCACAATTGAGCGACCAGAAGGTCACGGCGCGGGTCCTCCGTAGGTGTTGGATCGCACCGCGAGTGGAGAGCTCAACCGAGCGAGAAAGGATGCGACGGACGTTGCGATAAGAGCACCGCTGGGCTCGTTGCAACGGTCGCGACGGCGAACGATTCGCAGCAAGGAAACAACGAATGCTGAGCGAACCGGTCTACGAACTCGACGATGAGCGATCCGGAGAATTCGCGAGGAATCAGCTCCGCGACAAACTTGAGGCTGAGAGACCGGCGACCGCAGGCTGAGCCTGGTAGAGCGAAACTGTTCGCGAGACGTTAGCACGAAACCACCGTGAAGACATTCTACGCGAAAAAGGCTACTGACCGAGGTACGCGGTCGTACTTATAGGCTTCTTTTAGTATGCTCTGGAGCGCGCGGATTGGACCACAGGAAGCGGAAAAACGGCTTGACAATTCGCGACTAGCGTGAGTCTACATCGAAGCTAAGGTTTTTTCAATTCGTCGTGCGAGCATCTCGCGGCGCGTGCCGCCCGCCGATTTGCGAAATCTGTGTTTTGGCTGATCGTTGCCATAGCAACTGCTCGGCTCCGCGTTACGAGCAGGCGGCTCGCTGGCCTCGCGACGACGCGATCGCACGTGATCCTCACGCGCTA